GGGGTATAGCTACGCATCATCAAGTGGGTGCACTCTTTACTGAATTTCTGCAACTGTGTGCATTTGTGGGAATGCCGTCGTTTTATATGTAGACGTTCTGATACCCTCATCGACATAATTTAGATAAATAAGGAGGGGGATTTCCGACCCCGGCTGTTCGGGTTAGCCAGGGCTGAGAGGGTTACAAAAACCCAGTAGAGAGACTGAGCTTCTCGATAAAAATTCTCCCCACTCAGAAATCCAACTGGGGTCTCTCCTTCGTGTAACATCGAAGTGCATAACCGCTCCTCGAGAGACTCCGGTCATGCGGGGAAGTATGAGGACCGTTAACATTTGACGTTATTACTTGATCTCGCAAGCCCTGATGGAAACCTTAGGCTGATTCTAGCTGTAGTTCTTGTTCAGCTTGAATAAAAAATGTCTGCACTTTGAAATGAAAAGGCGAATGATGTTATATTTATTCGACCCCTCGTCATAAAGAGTGCGTTCAAGCTGCACAGTGTTGAATAAAGGCATCTTAGGTTGTGCTGACATTTATTTTTCAAAGTTGTCAAATTTTTGTTCTTGCTATTTTTACAGAAATCTAACTCCGACTCGCACTATTCCGCTTATCATCAACTGCTTTGCCACGTCAATAGTTGGCTATGTTTCTTTGTTACTGCACTGGTATTGAAGGTCAAATGACAAAGAAGGGTATCTCAGAATCTCATAAAAGCCGATTGACTGATGCGACGGTGAGTCGTCGGCCTAGTTTTTCAAGGCTGCCTTACAGTCTGTAACCTTTTTACTTTAATATAGGCGTGGAAGCTTTTGTTCCTTGCGAAAATCTGCCTCGCAAATAAATTGAAGTTTTCCATTCACTGTTTTGGGTAGGAGGAGGAGACAATTAATATAACGACATTTGACAATAGGAAGCGCACGTAACGGATTGGCATAACTTACTTTAATTAAAAGAAAGACATATGAGGTGAACATCTATGTTTCTCTCTACAATTAATGAAAATCCTTACTTCCACAGATGAAACATGGAATAGCTCATGTTGATCTAAAGGAATTCCGTCTAAAATGGGAATATACAATGATTTCTATACATCTCTTGGTACATCTTCCACGATTAAAATGTCTACACCTATAATAGAGACTACTGCATTATTTCCCAATGTGAATCC